ACGTACTCGTATTTAATTCTTTTGCATTACCAGCTGTTCTTATTGCAGCTGCAAATGTGTGACTAAATAATTGAAAAGCTCTTTTAACATTCATCGCTTCGAAATTATTTGGACGAATATGTGCTTCTGTTATATGGGATAATAAATTTGAGCCTCCTTTTGTGGCATTGTCAATATACCAAGTCATTTCAAAATCTGAATACGATGCGATTATTTTTCCATCACAATAAATGTTTTTGTGCGTTCTAAGAAAACTTGCCAATCTTTTTACCAGATGAGGAAAATCAAAAGATGCGTTATATTTTTTTCCATTATGTATAAAACATGGCCTCTGTGCATCAATACCGAGTTCACTATACGCACTTTGATTACATGTGCCTTGATCACATGTTAAAAGTTGCACATCAGCACCCGTTGTACTCAATCTGTCTAAACATTCTTTTAATAATATTATTATTTCTTCTGCTTTCATGCATTTTCCCGGAAGGAAATATGCTAAAGGCTGTCGCCATGGGTGACGCGCATTTAAACTGTCTAGGCAAAAGACAAATACGCATTTAGATCTTTCTGATTTTCTTCCTAGAGGACCAAGATCGACAAGACCTTCTATTTCATCTAATTTTTGCGAATATTTTTCATAAGGTTTTATGGCCATTTCGTCCCATTTTAAGGCACACACTCTTTCCTCTACTGGTAAATAAGAAATCTTTTCCTTTAATTTTTGAAAAATAAAATCACAAAATCCTGGCCGTACGTCATATTCTTCCAGCCATCTTCTAATAGTTCGTTGCCCTGGAAAATTGCAACCTGCTTTTCTTAAGCGGCAGAAAGCAGCAGGTGAATAATAATATAGTTGTCTTGACAGATTTTTCTCTTCTTCTGTATATGCTGCATTGCGTTTATGCAGTTGCAAATTTATCATCGCCTTCGCAACAGGATTTAGATCTTGTTCGTCTACCAATTTGTTTAATATTATTTTCTTTTGTTTATCTTTTTTTGACGTTTTACGTTTTTGTGGAATATGACGTAAACGATATTTCAGATATCTTACTTGTCTTCGCAATCGTATATTTTCAGATTTTAGATATTTAACTTTTGCACATAACTTATGTATTATTTCATTTTTTGTATTTGTTTCTGTACTATTTTTAGTACTTCTTGTATTATTGCACGGAGGAAACAGAACTCTTTCATGCATTGATGGCTCAAGATGCGCCGATTCTATTATATTTGTATTGTTATTATTATTATTATTATTATTATTAGACGGAGGAGGCGTAAGAACTCTTTGATGCATAGATGGCTCAATGTGCATCCATTCCATTATATCTTCATTTTCTATGGAAGAATTAAAATCTAAATGTCGTGGCTGATAGCATCGCAATGAATTTGTTCGTTGTTCAAAAGTTTGTGATTCTGGATGCTCGTCTATTACATTTTCATTAACAACAGTAGACGTAGATGATGTAGTAGATGTTGATACAATATTCTTTATACTTTGTTCTTCTTGTAAATAAAGCACTTGTTCCATTTGCATACTTTTTCTTTTCTTATTTTTATTATTTTTATTAATATTATGAGAATCTAAAGAAATCAATACATTGTGTTCATTACTTACGTTATTTAGAGACTCGAAAGGAATCGGTACCGCACTGCGTTTTAATCCTCTTGTCGTTTTATTTGTGAAGGAGTCTTCAAGAAAATGATCTTCACACAATCCCGCACGTCGAATAGAACTGGCAGACCATTTTTCTATTTTCGTATTTCCTGTAATAAAAACAAAAGAAAAGAAAATTTAAAAACTAATTTATTTACTCGATATGTTACACATGTAATTGTATTAAAAATTTGTAGAATTAAAATTTAATTTTTTACAATAAAAAAAGAAATAATTAATATTTTAATATCAAATTATTTTATATGTACATGTAATTTTATATGCACATGTATTATTTTATATGTATATGTAAAAAATATTATTTACTACGCGAAATTTATTCGGCATATATGTATATGAGTATAGATATGCATATATCTTCTTATATGTTTGTCTACATAAAATTAATGAAATATTTAGACAAAGAAATATTTTTAGATTTTTCTTTTTATACATTTTATACATTTATTATTATTAATTTTAAATATATATACATTTTACATACTATTTATATCAATATAAGTATCAAAATAAGTATTAGAAAAAAAGTAATATAACCCAAGTATTGTAGTAAACAAATAAAGTATAAAAAATGTTTAAAACTCATTTAAAACTTATTTTCAAAGATATTTTAAAAATGTGAAAATATTTGGTTCCCCTTTTATTCATTAAAAGAACGTTTATTTTAACGTCAATGTAATATAAATATTTATTTAACGTTTATTAAATATTTATTTTGTTAATATTTTTTGTTAATATTTTATTAATAAAATATTAAATATTTAATAAACCTTAAATAAATATTTATATTACAGTAATGTTAAAATAAATGTTTTTTTTTAATTTTAAAAGAAGGGACTTAATCAATTTTTTCACATTTTTAAAATATCTGAAAATGAGTTCTAAACATTTTGTTTGCTATATTTGTTTGTTACTTAGGAATATTAGTAAAAATATAATAAGGATAAGATATAATAATGAAAATAAGCAAAAAATGGTAAGTATTATAAATAGTAATAATTATTTTCAACCATCCGTTAGTCATAATATTTTCCCTTTATTTTCTTTTGCTTAAAATAATTTTTCTTACACAAAACATAAAATACATAAAAAATAGTAAAAAGACATTGATAAATATAGGATGGTATTAGAATGGATAAAAAAATCGAAATGCTATTTTTTATCCATTCTAATACTATCCTATTTAATTATCTTATCTTATAAGATAAACACTTTAGAGATTGAATATTTCAAGTAAACTAATTGTAAGTAAATTTCACATTAATGCATATAGATGTTTAATCATGAATACTAAATAAGTACACAAGACGAACAGTGAGTGAGTGAGTGAGAATGAGAGAGTGTGTGTGTGTGCGTGTGTGTGTGAGAAAGAGAGAGAGAGAGAGAGAGAGAGAGAGAGAGAGAGAGAGAGAGAGAGTTAGCCAACATAACCCCGCACGCTGCCGATCATGAATGTACTAAATAAGTACACAAGACGAACAGTGAGTGAGTGAGTGAGAATGAGAGAGTGTGTGTGTGTGTGCGTGTGTGTGTGAGAAAGAGAGAGAGAGAGAGAGAGAGAGAGAGAGAGAGAGAGAGAGAGAGAGAGAGAGAGAGAGAGAGAGTTAGCCAACATAACCCCGCACGCTGCCGATATGGCGGAGCGCCACTATCGCCATCTGTTGTAAAACGTGCGAGATGGACAAAATTACCACTACATGCATCTTGCATGTGTTGTGTACGTGTGATATATGTGTGCGCATGTGTTGTATACGTGTGAATACGTGTAGCACGATACTACTATGTATGCGTGGTCGATGATGATAATGATGATGATAATGATGATAATGATGATAATGATGACGGGGACGTTTCTTAATAGAAATTTTTCATATTTCGACTTTGCATTTATATATCTCTGCTTACAAATCACGTAGAGCAGAAATAAAGACACTTTTATTATATAATTCGAACTCAATCTATCGATTAAGTCTAGTATAAACTCGATTGCTTCAGCCATTATTGAGGATTCGAAATATTATAAAGACTCAAATGTCCGACTCGCGTTAAGATACACGGTGTCTCCGCTACGCCCTTAACTGGTCGCGAGACACTACCGTGTCTCTTGATGCAATTAACTATCACACAGAATCCTCCAGAAAGATTCAAATATTCGCAGGAGTCGATCACGTGTACGCAGCATGCACAATACGACGGCGAGTTCGTCGCGACGGCGTACTACGACAATTGTGAGAGAGAGCGCGGGAGAGAGAGAGAGAGAGAGAGAGAGAGAGAGAACGAGCGAGAGAGAGAATGCACGACATGCATTCACCGATACGCGAATATCGCAGTGAATCTTCCAGCAGGATCCGAATACTCGTAATGTTCGATCACGTGCACGTAGCATGCACGAGACAATGGCGAATTCGTCGCGAGAACGTGTATGTTGCGTCGCGAACGAGATCCGATTACCCGTTAACTCTTCACTCTCGATATGTCACACAATACCGCGCAAATCTGTTCGTATTTGTCGCGATAATACATTCACGCACTTATTACACCGTAACGCGAATTCTTTGGTCTGACTTGCGACCAACGCCGGCTCTCTCTCCGCGACGACTGTCTCCGACGGAATGCTACCCTCATCGATCACGCTATCGACCGCCTGATCGCGAGGGGTACACGCGGAACGCGCTAATTGGCCGAAAATTTGCTTCCGCGGCGCTTCCCGCGGTGCGTGCCGCGAGGTGCTGCCGTGTTAGGCCCGCGGCAATTGCTTTTACCTAAATTCTCGACTGATCCGTGAATTTTCGTTCGATCGAGCGCGGCAAATTTTTCTCAATCCTAAACATACCGCCCGCCTCGAAATTTGAATTTCGAAACTACTCGATCTCGCGGTATACCTTACACAAGGATGCATCGTTCACTCCCGTGTGAGTGAGGTTTGCTAAATGAAAACTAATTGCGTGTGATTGTTCGTCACGATTGATCCCATGCAATATATAAGATACTGAGATGTAACTTCTGATTACGCTCAGATCGCACTAAAGTGAAATTGTAGACCTGAAACGGCTGACAATATTGACTTAAAGTTGACTTCTAAAGATCACTGTTGTTATCGCGGACGGATTTTAACATTTAACGCAGATCGTGTAAACAACAGTATCCGCTGTTCGTACTAATTCGCACGACCTTAAACTTAGGATTGCAAGCGCCGCCCGCCTTGGCGATTTTACTTGCACGCTTTGACTTAACTAATGAACATAAACTTGACTTACTTGCTACATAAATTATAACGTAATTAGAATTAGAATCGTATAATTAACTTACACTAGAATTATCGCTAATTGCTTGACACTCGAGGCTGATCCTCGATGGAATCGTCAGAATCAACGTCGATTGGAAGCACACATAACTTAGTTATGGGACGCTTATATTCCGAGTTCGCTGTTTTGACGGAAACTACTCGAATTAATCCGTCAGAGCCTGGTTGACAGTGGATTACGCGTCCGAGTTCCCATTTGCAAGGAGGAAGAAGAGGATTTTGAATCAGAACCATGGAACCGATATGGATAAGTGACTTTGCCTTTCGCCACTTAGTTCGCTGTTGAAGCGTGTTAATATAGTCGGCGTGCCAATGCTTCCAAAAACGCTCCGTGATCTGTCGCAACAACTGCCACCGTGACAGTCTGTTTTCATTGATTTGCAGAACAGAAGGTTCTGGATTGATTGTGATTGCCGATCCAATCAAAAAGTGACCCGGAGTGAGAACTTCAAAATCGTCAATCGAATCAGTCAATGGACACAGGGGCCTTGAATTTAAGCATGCTTCAACTTTACAAAGCACGGTAGTAAGTTCCTCGAAAGTGAGGGTGTGATTTCCTAATATCCTACGAAGGTGGTATTTAACGCTTTTGACCCCTGCCTCCCACAATCCACCGAAGTGTGGAGCATGGGGAGGGATAAAACTCCATGTGATGTTATCTGACACGATGAAGTTGAGAAAGTTAACATCGCTTTGAGCGTCTCGATACGCTTGCGACAACTCCTTGTCTGCTCCTGCGAACGTAGTGCCATTGTCCGAGTACATGACCTCTGGTAATCCACGTCGCGCACAAAATCTTTGAAAAGCGTTAAGAAAGGCAGCAGTCGAGTAATCACTAACCAGTTCGAGATGAATAGCGCGTGTGGCTAAACAAATAAAGAGTGCTATGTAGGCCTTTCGCGAGGTAATTCCTCGGCCGGCTGAAGCACGTGTGAAGACTGGTCCGGCGTAGTCGACACCGCTATGTAGAAACGCTCGAGAGGGCGCCGAAACACGACTTGTAGGTAGCTGGCCCATCAGTTGACTAGCTACTTGAGCCTTTTCTCTTGTACACGGAACACATTTATAAATAACCGACCTTACTAGACTTCTTGCTCTCAAAATCCAAAACTCTTGTCTAAGTTTTGAAAGAGTGGATTGAAGACTGGCATGGAGAGATACAACATGCGTATAACGGATGATCATAGTAGTGATCGTATGGTTGGCTAATAAGATTGGATGCTTGGACTGGAAAGATAATGACGAGTGTTCTAATCGCCCCCCAACGCGAATTAGACCGTCAGAATCCAGGAACGGATTTAATGAGAGAATTGGACTGTGAGTAGGCAACGGTTTGTTTGACTTTAAATTATGGAGCTCGTTTTCGAATAGTTCTAACTGAATGAAGTTCAGCCAGAAGTTTCGTGCTTCGTTGAATTCAACTGTAGTAAGAGCGTGATATTGAGACTTGTTGTTCGATCCTATTGTGTGTTTCTTTCTACACTTCCTTATGAAACGGTAAATGTAGGCGGTAATACGTATTAATTTCGGCCACCATGAATATCGAGTAGTGAGATTCCACGGTTCATTAGCGTTAACTTGATGCCCTTGACACGATTTTTCTTCTAACTGTGTTTCGTCTATCGGCGTTATTGTGAATGTGGGCCAATCATCCTGCTTAAGACTCAACCAGGAAGGTCCGCGCCACCAAATGTCGAAGGCGCTCAATTCTGTGCCGAGTAAACCGCGAGATGCACAGTCAGCGGGATTTTCATGTGTACTGACATGATGCCAAATGCCATCAGATACTCGTGTTTGAATCTCTGTTACGCGATGCGAGACGAAAGTTTTCCAATGAGATGGGTGCTTGTTTAACAGCACAATACTCGAATCTGTCCAACAATGGACTGGCATTTTCGTGAAATGAAGAGATTTTCTGATAAATTCAATTAGGCGCGCTAATAAGACCGCAGCTGACAATTCTAATCGAGGGATTGTCAGCGGTTTGATAGGCGCGACTTTGGATCGCCCAGCGAGGAGCGAAACAGTTGTATGACCGGATAATGTTGTGACTCTCAAAAAAACTACTGCGGCGTAAGCTACTTGGGAAGCATCCGCGAAACCGTGTAACTCGATGCTCTTGGTATCTGAATCGCATCCAATCCAGCGACTAAGTTTTATGCTTTTGATGTAAGGAAGTGATTTATAAATCACGCTCCATTGTAAAAGGAGATCTTCTGAGAGATTGTCGTCCCAGCCTACTTTGTGTCGCCATAATTTCTGCATAAAAACTTTCGCTTTGAGAACCACGGGTGTGACCCATCCAAGTGGATCGAATATTCTGGCTATGGTAGAGAGAATCGTTCGTTTTGTAGAAGGGAGAGTCTGTGGTAATTCAATTTGAAACTGGAAACAATCGTGCGTCGGATTCCAAAAAATACCGAGAACCTTCAGATTGTTGTCAGTCTCGAATAATTTAAGCTGTGCGAGCCCGTGATGATCCGATGAAATATCTGAGAGCAACTCCGGTTTGTTACTCGCCCATTTGCGAAGATCGAATCCACCGCGTTTCAACAATTTGCAAACTTGATCTCGAGTCTGTTTAAGGAGAGGCATATCTTCGGCCCCAAACAGCACGTCGTCCACATAGACGTTCTCGCTTAAAACCGCAGATGCTAGTGGAAACGAGCTTCCTTCCTCATCGTTTAACTGATTAATGACTCGAAGAGCTAAAAACGGTGCGGAAGCCGTACCGTATGTTACCGTAAGGAGTTGATGTTCTTGAATATTCGAATTTTCATCTATCCATAGGATGCGTTGATAATCTCTATCTCGCGAGTCGACCAATATTTGTCTATACATTTTCGCTATGTCTGCGGAGTAAACGTATTTGTGCTGTCGCCAACGTAATAAAACCGATTGCAGATCTAACTGTAGTTTAGGCCCAGTAAACATGTGAGAATTGAGCGAGGTACCGTTAGAGGTTGTGCATGAGGCGTCAAATACGACTCTCAACCGAGTTGTCGAACTAGTCTCTCGAATGACCGGATGATGAGGGATGTACACGACTTGTGAATTTACTGAATCCACCGGTGCGATTACTTTCATATGATTCAACTGTGCGTATTCGCTCATGAACTCAGAATACTCCTGCTTAATCGCAGGTTGATTATTAATTCTCCGAAGTAACGACGAAAGCCGACGCGCGGCTATTTCGCGAGATTCACCGATTTCGATGGGTGGGCCGTTTCGAAACGGCAGACGCACGATATATCTCCCATCCGATGTTCTCGAATGCGTTTGTTTGAAATGTTCTTCGCATTGTTCGTCATCTGGAGACATTTCAATTGATTGAGGTGTTTCTTCTGCCTCCCAGAATTTAGACAATTGATTTTCGAGAGAACAACAATGAGCGACAACACTGTAACGTTGATTTAACTGAGCTGATTGCACGACGCGACTCGCATCCTCAACAGGCGGAATTACGAGAGTTGAAGTTACCACATGAGAGGGTTGTGTCACGTGATTCGGGATAGAGGTTGTTCCGGATAGGATCCATCCGAAATGCGATTCAATTGCACCTGGTTGACCGAGCGGTCCGTTACGTACGTGAACGAGTACGTGATTATATAAATCGGATCCTATTATGAGATCAATCGGTGTTGATCCGGTAGGATCATCGTCAGCCAAATCCAGATTGGAAATATGTTTCCAATCTTGCGATTGCGAAGCGTTTCTGGGAGCATACCTCGTTAATGCCTTCATAATATAGGCAACCGTTGTGAACCTTGGTTTCGATTTTTTGCGAGGAGTGATGTGAATCAGAGCCGCAGATCGGCATGTACCGGTGTCAGCGCAGCTTATTCCCGACGTTGAAGTAAGCGTTCGTATACGCTTGAGACGTAATATTTGAGCAACGCGCTCCGTCACAAACGTGAGCTCTGATCCACCGTCAATCAAGGCTCTGACAACCAATGAGCGTCCAGAAGGCGCCTGCAAATTCACCTTTGCAGTAGATAAGACAACAGGAGTCGGCGCAGTTGTCATTGTAACTGATGAGAGTGCCGTAACGTTAGGCACGTTGTCGATGACGTCATTCGCGTTTGACGTATTGTTCGCATTTGTAACTTGTTGCAATGAGTCCGAATCGAGATGAATCATAGAATGATGTCGTTTATTACATGTTCGACATGTGAAATTACTTTGACAATTGATCGACATGTGTTTATCACTCAAACAATTAAAACATCGTCGAAATTTCTTAAGCAATTCGCGTCGCTGAATCGGACTCTTTGCTACAAATTGCGGACATTTTGAGAGAATGTGCGATTGCTTGCACATTGAACACACTATATTAGATGACGCAGTCGCTGTTGCGCTAGTCACTTTCGCATGTGACTTGGTCTTGTCGTTATCGCGAGGGTGAAGTTCCTCTAACGCGAGAGCACGCGACGAAATAAATTTTAATACTTCTTTGTATGTTGGCGGATTTTCGATATCGCTCGTTTTTAACTTCCACGCACGGCGCGTGGCGGGATCGAACTTCTGAGAGAGAAAATAAACTAACATGTCGCTGACTATATCGTCCGGCGAACGATTAAGACGTTGCAATGTTGAGATCGCTTGTTCGGCTTTATCGCGTAAGGCGTGAAGCTCGACAGCTGACTCACGAGTCATTTTCGGAAGATTATACAAATTCGAAATGTGAGTCTCAATTAATCGGCGCTTATTTTCAAAACGCGCTGTTAATGCTTTCCACGCAACCGAGAAGTTATCCGCGGTGACTTTAATACCTGATATCGCATCGCGAGCTGAGCCTGTTAAACTTGACACTAAAAAATGCATGCGACTGAAGTTCGATAATTCGCGATTGTCTATAATAAGCGATTGAAACCGATCGCGAAAAGTCTCCCACTCCTCAATCTTACCGGTGAACGGCGGCAATTTGATGGGAGGAAGATGTTTGACCGATAATGACGCAGAGTCTGTATGCGCGAACGAAGCGTTGAAAGAGGTTTCACGACTTACGACTGGAACCAGCTCCTCCAAGCACTCGTTCATGTAGTCCATAGCTGCCTGATAGAGGTCCTCGTGGAAGGCGAAGGTCTCCTTTTTGAAGTAGTGAATTTAAACTTGCTTCTCGTCAGGAACAAGCTGCAGCAGTGTCGCGTCATTGCGTACACATTGTGTCCACGTGTCTTGTAAGCTCGTCATTCGCGAGCGAATTTTGGCGGCCGTCAGATTTGACCGACCGATCTTCTTAAAATTGTCGAGAGCTCGAGCAACTGAATAGCAAGCAGTTTGTTGATTTGCGAGAGCTTCTTCCATTTTGACACTGAATTTAATCAACTGAGGTTTCAACGACACTGAATTTAATCAAATTAGTCTTTTACGAACCGAGCTGTCACTCTCTTTGAATGCACTGATAGCGTTTGATGATGTCCGATTTTGAATGTACTTGCAATGTCACTGTGTTTTTTACTTGAGTTTTTCACTTTTCAATACGTCACCAATCTCAAATCCGGCTCGAAGGACCAAATGTTGGGAACGCGCGGCTTGAACCGTGGTCCGACGCGAAGCTGCGACGAACGAGCATGCTCGGCCTTTTTAGGGCCGCGTCTCGCGCGCCGCCTCTCAAATCCTTCACCCGTTTTTTTTTTTTTTATTGGAAAGAAATCATAGGAATCTCATGAGAGATGTGATGGATGGACAATAGGATAATTGTTGAGTGGACTGTATCTTAATAGGGTGATCGCGCACCCATGTGTGCGCTGAGATTGATGATTTACGTAGGAAGCCGAATTGAAAAGAAGTCTTGAAGTTGATGAACAAAAACAGATCAATTTATTATTTCACATGTCAGAAAGTCACCTGGACTTGACACAAACAAATCAAAGAAAAAAGAACAAAAACTCGATATGAGAATCGAAAGCGTTTGCTGTACACGTTTCGAAGCTCGCGATCACAAAAGAAAAAACTGTTTGTTCGATATCGACACCAATGTTTTTTGTCGCAAGAGAAAACAATGTCTTATTTGAAAGTCACGATCGCGAATCGTACAACAACAAATTTGTCCTCTTGTGGACGACCGTTATAATTTATCGAACACGCGCACATATGATTTGACGCGACTTAATAATTGTCTTCAATTATGTGACATTCAATCCTCCAGCAGGATCCGAATATTCGTAATGTTCGATCACGTGCATTTATATGCAATTAACTATCACACAGAATCCTCCAGAAAGATTCGAATATTCGCAGGAGTCGATCACGTGTACGCAGCGTGCACAATACGACGGCGAGTTCGTCGCGACGGCGTACTACGACAATTGTGAGAGAGAGCGCGGGAGAGAGAGAGAGAGAGAGAGAGAGAGAGAGAGAGAGAGAGAACGAGCGAGAGAGAGAATGCACGACATGCATTCACCGATACGCGAATATCGCAGTGAATCCTCCAGCAGGATCCGAATACTCGTAATGTTCGATCACGTGCACGTAGCATGCACGAGACAATGGCGAATTCGTCGCGAGAACGTGTATGTTGCGTCGCGAACGAGATCCGATTACCCGTTAACTCTTCACTCTCGATATGTCACACAATACCGCGCAAATCTGTTCGTATTTGTCGCGATAATACATTCACGCACTTATTACACCGTAACGCGAATTCTTTGGTCTGACTTGCGACCAACGCCGGCTCTCTCTCCGCGACGACTGTCTCCGACGGAATGCTACCCTCATCGATCACACTATCGACCGCCTGATCGCGAGGGGTACACGCGGAACGCGCTAATTGGCCGAAAATTTGCTTCCGCGGCGCTTCCCGCGGTGCGTGCCGCGAGGTGCTGCCGTGTTAGGCCCGCGGCAATTGCTTTTACCTAAATTCTCGACTGATCCGTGAATTTTCGTTCGATCCAGCGCGGCAAATTTTTCTCAATCCTAAACAATAATGAAAATAAGAAAAGAAAAAGTATGCAAATGGAACAAGTGCTTTATTTACAAGAAGAACAAAGTATAAAGAATATTGTATCAACATCTACTACATCATCTACGTCTACTGTTGTTAATGAAAATGTAATAGACGAGCATCCAGAATCACAAACTTTTGAACAACGAACAAATTCATTGCGATGCTATCAGCCACGACATTTAGATTTTAATTCTTCCATAGAAAATGAAGATATAATGGAATGGATGCACATTGAGCCATCTATGCATCAAAGAGTTCTTACGCCTCCTCCGTCTAATAATAATAATAATAATAATAATAACAATACAAATATAATAGAATCGGCGCATCTTGAGCCATCAATGCATGAAAGAGTTCTGTTTCCTCCGTGCAATAATACAAGAAGTACTAAAAATAGTACAGAAACAAATACAAAAAATGAAATAATACATAAGTTATGTGCAAAAGTTAAATATCTAAAATCTGAAAATATACGATTGCGAAGACAAGTAAGATATCTGAAATATCGTTTACGTCATATTCCACAAAAACGTAAAACGTCAAAAAAAGATAAACAAAAGAAAATAATATTAAACAAATTGGTAAACGAACAAGATCTAAATCCTGTTGCGAAGGCGATGATAAATTTGCAACTGCATAAACGCAATGCAGCATATACAGAAGAAGAGAAAAATCTGTCAAGACAACTATATTATTATTCACCTGCTGCTTTCTGCCGCTTAAGAAAAGCAGGTTGCAATTTTCCAGGGCAACGAACTATTAGAAGATGGCTGGAAGAATATGACGTACGGCCAGGATTTTGTGATTTTATTTTTCAAAAATTAAAGGAAAAGATTTCTTATTTACCAGTAGAGGAAAGAGTGTGTGCCTTAAAATGGGACGAAATGGCCATAAAACCTTATGAAAAATATTCGCAAAAATTAGATGAAATAGAAGGTCTTGTCGATCTTGGTCCTCTAGGAAGAAAATCAGAAAGATCTAAATGCGTATTTGTCTTTTGCCTAGACAGTTTAAATGCGCGTCACCCATGGCGACAGCCTTTAGCATATTTCCTTCCGGGAAAATGCATGAAAGCAGAAGAAATAATAATATTATTAAAAGAATGTGTAACGGTTCACCTTTCCCGACGCCGCGGATCGGCTCGCCGGTTCCAGGATTCGGGAGGAAGGGGGAGATTCAGACTCGCTTATTCCTTATTAACAATACTTTGGTTTATTCAAAAGGAAACAAGTAAACAAAATGATTGTTGGTATAAAGCCTAAATAGAGAAACTTACTGACTACTCGGTATAAACGAAATGTTTGTTGGCATAAAGCCCTAAATAGAGAAACTTATTGACTACTCGGTATAAACAAAATAAGGAGGCGTATAGCCTGTAGCGGTGTCCGGAAAAGATTTACAAATTACCCGGTATAACTTAGAGATACGGTGTATGGTGGCGTATAGCCTATGGCAGGAAGAAACCGGAAACCGGGAAACCCGGCGTAATGACGAGAAACCCGTCACCCGGTGTATAGCAGGAAGAGACCGGAAACCGGGAAACCCGGCGTAACAACGAGAAACCCGTTGCCCGGCGTGTAGCAGGAAGAGACCGGAAACCGGGAAACCCGGCGTAACAACGAGAAACCCGTTGCCCGGCGTGTAGCAGGAAGAGACCGGAAACCGGGAAACCCGGCGTAACAACGAGAAACCCGTTGCCCGGCGTGTAACAGGAAGAGACCGGAAACCGGGAAACCCGGCGTAACAACGAGAAACCCGTTGCCCGATACTAAAGGTAGGAGGCCAGAAACCGGGAAACCCGGCGTAATAACGAGAAGCCCGTTGCCTGGCTAGGAGGTCTGGAGCAGGACTGGTGCCGGCTCATCCGTCGAGCCGGCTTATATACCCTGCCGGCGGTTCCCCCACTCTACATCGAGGCTGTGGTGGGGGTAACGCCGGCGTCGTAGTGGGGCGCCTCTGGGGGTTGTAGTGGGGCGCCCCTGGGGTAGGGTGACCCGTGTATCAGTTGTGATTTTGTGCTTAGGGGCGCCTTAGGCGCCATAGCCTCAAGTGGCGGGCGGGTGATCGGCCCGCGAGGCGTTAGTAACGGCTACGCCGTTACAAATGTTTAGACAGATTGAGTACAACGGGTGCTGATGTGCAACTTTTAACATGTGATCAAGGCACATGTAATCAAAGTGCGTATAGTGAACTCGGTATTGATGCACAGAGGCCATGTTTTATACATAATGGAAAAAAATATAACGCATCTTTTGATTTTCCTCATCTGGTAAAAAGATTGGCAAGTTTTCTTAGAACGCACAAAAACATTTATTGTGATGGAAAAATAATCGCATCGTATTCAGATTTTGAAATGACTTGGTATATTGACAATGCCACAAAAGGAGGCTCAAATTTATTATCCCATATAACAGAAGCACATATTCGTCCAAATAATTTCGAAGCGATGAATGTTAAAAGAGCTTTTCAATTATTTAGTCACACATTTGCAGCTGCAATAAGAACAGCTGGTAATGCAAAAGAATTAAATACGAGTACGTGGGAAGCTACAGCTGACTTTGCAACACGCTTAAATAATATTATTGATGCTTGTAACAGTTACAGCCTTAATATTACATTTGGCGGAAAACGACCATTATCCTTCAGAAATTCAGATATTGAAAATCTGTTAACAGATTCTATCGAATGGTGCTCAAGATGGTCAAAATCGGCGGAAAATCTAGTTCAAATTCTTTGTTTCAAAGGTTTTCCATTAACTATACGAGCTATTCTTGCAACTTATAAAAAACTTGCAAATCAATACGAAGGATTTGAACTTGCGACAGGATTGTGTAATCAGGATTCTGTCGAACATTTGTTTTCTAAATTGAGACAACGCGGAGGTTTTAATCCAAATCCAACCGCAAGAATGATCCGATTATCTATCAGACATATACTTTCCACAGGATATATTTAGACTAGCGACAAGGGCAATGTTCAATGTACAGAAAGTGTAACTCTTATTAATCGACCAAGTCGACTTGTTAAGACAATAGAAAATGTCATGAATACGAGCAATGCGACTGTAGAATATATTGAACATGAAAGTGAATTGCTTGAC